ATGGCGGCCACCTCCTGCTTGCCGTCTTTGATAGACCTCATCTTCTACCGCATCCGCAATTACAGTATAGATATATTACATAGACCTCTGTAATTGAGAATCACGGTCTACAGGAAGAACATGGAAAACAAGGTGAGCCCGCGGACCCAAAAAAAGAAGCGCGCAACCCAGGAAAAATAGAAAAACACACATTAGCAGGCCAAAACGAAGCATCAGCCCTTTTGAGGCTTCGTGGCAACCATGTTCTGGTGCGCATCCGTCCACCCCTGTCTGCCATATACACCCCCGTCCACCCCTTGGTCAGTTTTGAAAGCCCTCCAAAACGGTCATAAAACGATTGCAACATGGCTTCTGACAACTGTTCCAAGCATGGAGCCGCATCAGCCCCCTCCATGGTTCGTTCCAACCGTCCAATTTCATGCGTTGCGCTTTTGGCGCGCAACAATCCTGCCCCGACCTCCCGTCTCGCTCCCCTCCATCTTCCCTCCCCCGCCCCGTCCCCACCCACGCGCCTCCCGTCTCGCTCCCCTCCATCTTCCCTCCCCAGCCCCGTCCCCACCATGCACCTCCCGTCTCGCTCCCCTCCATCTTCCCTCGCCCCGTCCCCACCCTCCATCTTCCCTCCCCAGCCCCATCCCCACCCGTCTCGCTCCCCTCCATCTTCCTGGCCCAACCCCGTCCACCTTCACATCCATTTTCCGTCCCCGACAACGCACGCTTTGTCTCGCTCTTCCGCGGCACTAGCGACTAAACGAGAGCGCAAGCATCGGAGATGCTTTTGGGAAAAACACCTCTGAGGATCTTGCTGCTTGGAGTATCTCTGCTCCAGCACGGCAAGGCCCAAGGGCGTACGTTGATGAGCATCCAAGGCCTTGTGGCTGATGCAAACTAACAACTCGATGATGCTCAATAACAAAGAAGCAAAGGAAACAGTTGCCATCATACAGGTGAAGCTGACAAGAGTGTTTAGAGTTTAGAAGCTTAGAGTCACGTTCAATGGCACAACAACCCCAAGCGATCCTATAGGAAGCAGGACAAAGCGTAACAGCGTCTTGCGCAACCAAGATTCATTTATCATACATTTTGGATGCTCCAGGAGTTTTTCCACCACCTTGTATACATCGCTTCAGCAACAAAAACAAAAAACATTCCAAAACATTGCAGCGCCTTGATACTGGAAGCCAGTTTCTAGGTGTAGTTTGATTTGGAACCCTTGCACCCGCTGCCAAGCATCTTCAACATGGCCCATCCATGCTGCCAGGTGCAGAGGTGTTCGGCCATAGCCATCTCGTACCTTACACAAATCCGGTTGTTACTAGCTGCAACCCACCTTGCAAACTGTGAGACATACAGTCGTACAAAGAGCACTCTGCACTAATGTAAGTCCTTCATTTATCGCGCTGCAAGGGCTAGTCCACTTCGGACTTCACATACGCAGGGGACACATAATTCAAGTATCTTGACAGAACCCCCGCCGATCATTCTGTGTTTAGAACTTGGCAAATTAAATGGCATGGTCACCATGGTCCGCTTCTTTGCGCAAACTAAGTTGCTCAAACTAGACGAAAGGGTAGCCTGAAGGCGAACATAACAAGAATAGAAGCGATGTAGCTTGCACATGGTGTGCATACGCGATATAGAACGAAACGTTTTCAGTGAGGACACCAGCACTGAAGACATGGATGATGATGGTGATGATGACAATCACGCATGATGAACAGACCACCAGTTACAGACCAGTAGACCGATTTGAGACTTCACCAACTGTACATTTCCCCACCTGCATACTGCACACCCCCACAACACCCCTATTTCCGCTCTTGCTGCGGACGCCTTCGTTCACGTCCCTTCCTCCAAATTGACCGGGGGAGTCTCCATAACTGGCAACTGTACATCTTGATGGGAAAGCAACAGCCGCCTCAACAGTCACCTACAAAGCAAACAGACTCAAAAGTTGGCCACCTGCAGCAGCACAGTGCCCACCACAGTGGCAAATTGCTCATAGAAGCCAAGAAAGCCAACAGAAGCCGTCAAATGCCATCGCAAGCCATCAAAAGCCACTTAAAAGCAAACAGAAGACACCAAAAGCCGCAAAAGCCAACCGAAGATCAAACGTCAACCAAAGCCACCAAAAGCGTTGAAAAAAGACATCCCAAAAAAGATTGAAGCGCAAATATACCACTTAAACAATACAATATGAGTTCAACACAAACATCTACAGCCAACGATATTTGTCAGTAGTAACACTAGCGTGACACCATCACCCATAGAACATAACGTGTCTCTCACTCCGTTTTCCTGGTTGCGTGAGCTCCGACTTCTCGACCTCACCCCATTTAGGGTGGGTTGGGTGGGCCTTTCTTTGAAGCCACAACTGCGTGTCCGACACGTAACGCTATCGGTCGAACTTTTCTTTCCTTCTAGCTACTACGTGTCCCTCACTCCGTTTTCCTAGTTGTGTGAGCTCCGACTTCTCGACCTCACCCCTCTTCAGTTACCAAGGTTGAGTGAGTCGAAGCTTCTCCGGAGGTGGTGTCTTGGAAGAGCCAGAGGACTTGGGTTTCGAAGTTGTCTTTTCTTTTACTTCTTTGTCCAAGGCAGTTGCCGCCGCAACCATCTTCTTGAGGACGAGGAAGCCAAGGTTCTCCGTCCACTTCCATGCGCAGGTCGGGATCAAACTTCCCGAACTTTTCTTTACTTAGGTCGTCCGCATCTTCAGTCTGCTCTCTGGGTATCCAGGAAAGACTCAGGTCCAGGGAGTAAGAAGTCTAGCTGCGCCGCCAACTCCGTCGCCTCCAGGGAGCCTGCGGTCCGAACACCATGATGGCGACCGTCACGGCTAGAAGCTCAGAAGTGGAGATCGTCCGAAAAGGCTCACCTTTTAGGTACAGGAAAGGTGCGTTCTTTCTGGTCAACTTTACGTGGAACCAGCGCGCCTGCATGGTCGTGTTGGTGCTGTAGGTTTCCCAGCCGCCGATGGCGACGCCGTCCTGGTCTGCCATGGCGTCCACCCGGAAGATCTCACCCAGGACTTTCGGCGTGGGAGAAAGTGACTTCATCGGGGTTTTGCTGACCATCTCCTGGAAGAAGGCAATGGCCAGTTTTACCGCCATGTGGAGCTCGAAGTGGTACTCGAGCAATTGCAGCATATAGTGGGGCCAAGAAAGGCCTGGCCACCTTGATGGCTCCTGACAAGAACCCCATGCGACCCAAGCCGGCTTTGAACTCTCTGCCCAACCGAACAAGGTGCTCTTCCCGCAGTACGACGATTTGGAGGCACGCTCGCCTTCGACGTCAAATCGGTTGGTTCCGGCGCAGGAGAGAGACTGGGGGCTCCAGGCCTGTACATGTCGGTTAGACAAGGAGGAGGAAGTGTTCTTGAACACCCGAGGCACCTTCATGGTTGCTTCAGCAGCTTTTTGGTGGGGTCGACTGGCGGGGCTTCTCTTTCGGGTTTTCCACCAGGTGCTACCTCGCGATGCCTCACTGTACCTCATGCTGTTCGCAGACGATGGGCTGCTCCTCACCTCCGGCGAGCACTGCCACACCTTGATCTTTGCCTTGTTCATCTACCTGGAGGTGATGGAAGTTCCCCTCTCTTGGCCCAAGACCAGGGGAGGATTGGAGACCGAATGGATTGGCTATACAGTCGACTTCAAGAACTGGACCTTGAGCATCAGCAAACGAAAGGTGGATTGGCTCAACACCTGGAGCAATTGGGCGATCTCGGAGGGTCGCATGCTGGTCGAGGTGGGTATTGACCCGCAGCCCGGGGGTTCCATCGTGAACCACCCTGACATCGCTCTACTGCGAGCCACCTGCAACTCGTCCCCTTGGCCTCGCCCAGCGTGACCTTCACCGTCCAACCTTTCTCCAGGTCCGATTCGACGTGCGCTCTGACCTTCTCTATGTGCTCCTTCGCCGAGGTGTAGTTGCCGCGGAACTCGTGTAGGTCTGAATCCTCCCACCTGGCCGGTTGATCTTCAGCTTCCTTTTTCTCCCTCTTGTTGTAGACGGAGCTGACCCAAGGTATCTCACCTCTGGCGCCGAGCGGAACCCCTGTCGCCGCCATGCCCTCCAAGAACTTCGAGTCCGGGTCCTGCACCACCTCAGCCCAGGCACGCAATCGCCGAAAGTGGATCTCAGACGACCTGTCCGTTGACCTACGATGTGGATCAAAACCAAGGCCCACCAACAACTGATCCATCCTTCCCTTGAGACCTGTAACCTGGAGAGCCCAAACTGGCGCTTGGGCGTATATTATGCACCCAGAGCAAAAAGAAACATCCATGGGCGTTTCTCGGGCTCAAGAAACACCCACGGGCGTTTCTTTCACAAAAGAAACAACCCGGGGCGTTTCTTTCACAAAAGATACACCCGACCCCTGGGAGTGCTCCGCTACCATGGGTCCGAAAACGTGCACGGCGCCACAACGAGAGCACAGTCGCGCCCACCAGATTCTGCGAGCCTGCGCAGTCGAAATGGACGAAGATCTCGAGGTGAATGAATTCCTACTTAAATTCACTATATATAACCCAATGAACATATGGCCTGGAGAGCCCAAACTGGTGCATGCTTGGGTGGGTGTATCCTGTATGCTTCTTTGTTGCGAGTTGTTGGGAGCTGCATTGCGCACATGTGTGTTTTTCCATAGCGCGCATTTTTAAAAACATGTTTTGTCTTCGTGTTTTCGTTTGGGTTTGTTCTTCGTGCTTTCATATTGCATGCATGCATGCGTTTGCAAAGCACAGCGTCGACGCATCTTTTCAATCCATTGATTGGTCTGCTTAAACGTCCTTCAAAGCACGAAACTGCAGGGCCCTCTTCAAACAGTATCGCCTGGCCCATGCTTTGTGGTAAGTGGAACCGTGGCAACTTTTTGCTACTGAGCGAGTCTTGCCCATAAAGTCTTCGTCCAGGAATGCGGAAAGGTGCTGTAAACATATCTTGTTCTGGGAGAACACATCGACCAAGTGGCGCAAGTAGTGGGATTTTAAAATTCACTTCATTTTTTGCAAACTCTCGCAAGAGAGTCGCTGGTAACACGCGAGGTGAAGACGGAGCAGCCAAGTGACTTCTGCAACGCACGGCGCTGACATGATCACGCATTTGTTCAAGTTGAACGTGCTTAATGCCACATCCAAGGTCCAGCACATTGTTGCTCTCAACTGCGCATGTCGTTGCAACTGCACCGGCGCATTGCACGCCAAAAGACACATAATGTGTGTACAAAAACCCAATAGCGTTCTTGCTTTGGCAGCCTTGACTCTGGAGTCGAGAATTGGATACGGCCAGTGATCATAAGATGGTCGGCCCAAGCGAGCTTTCGTCAGCTTGCCCATGTAGAGCGCCATACCGTGGCTTCGCGCCCATGCTTCCGCGTGTTTGCTGAATAACCTCAATATGTCATTGTGGTCTTGTAGACCGTAAAAGAGCCCCATCGAACCGTCTTGAAGGGAGTCGATCAAGACTGATGCAACAATGTCGCGAAGAGTCCCCAGATGCACTATGTGCATCAAGTCGAGGAGCCGTTTGCTCTTCTCAAACCTGGGCACAACTTTCCAAGGGCTAGGATCAGAAGGCGAATCTTCCATTGTCAATGTCCAACGCCACAACGCTCTCAGAGTAAGGTCTCCCCAAGACAATTCAGGGCTCCTTTTGTCCGAAGTGGCCAGGCACCAATCGCAGCGTGAGTTGCATTTGAAATATCTGCCAGTTTTCTCCAGGAAGTGCGAATACATGTGCGCTTCCATGTCGCCCTTCCAGTAACAGAAGGCCTGAGGTTCTGATCGCAAGACGATAGGAAACAATTTTGAAGGAAGGTGCCCCAGAAACGAAAGGCATGTTATTGCAGCCTTTACCTCAGTATCCTTTTCAAAAAACTTCAAAAATGGAACCACACGACAGACTCTTCAAAGAAACTTAAGAGAACAGAAACACACTTTCAGGATAGCTGCTCCACGCAATGGCATACGTGTCCCTGCCAGTTTGTCGCGTTCAGAGTCCACAGAATGGAACTTGCCATCATGGTCCACAAAGGCCCATTCACCAATTTCCAACTGCTTCAGGTCCCATGCAAGGATTCTGCAAATTGTTTCTCGAGTGGCCTCTGTAACTTTGAAGTTCCAACGCCGGCTATACACTGTCTTGTGAGCCATGAGTCGGCACGCTTGCAGCCACTGGACCATGACCAGATCGTACAGGTACTGCCTGAGCCATTGCGAGACTAACGCAGCATGACTGACTGCCACACAACCCCATGTATATTCTGGGGCCAAAATGTTGATCTATTTCACAAAAGCGCCGGCAAAATGTGGAACTGCATCCTCGTGCACAATGATTGGAACGTGTGTCCCTGCAAGTTCCGGCACACCAGAAGCAGTCCATAGAGCTGCCAAGTCTTTGTCAGCACCCAAGCACTCGTGGATCACCTTAAAACGCTCAAGTGCCAATTCGTTTGATCTTACGTTTGTTGGGCACCACCACATATTATATGTATGCATATATATATATATAAGCATATATATATGTATACAATATATAGAACATAAATTCCAACAACAGCTGAAGGCCAAACAAGTCGCACGCGGGCCCGCTGAGTGGAGCGCTTGCAGCATGTCGGATGGAAGTATGACCGAAATCTCCTGGCTTTGGAGGCCATCCAAAGCATGAAGCAAAGGGACATTGACCTTGTAGATCCGAATTGGGAGCTTCACAAAGCGGAAGAAGTCGCGCTCCCGAGAACATGCAAGTTGCTTTGCACTCACCTGATGGGCGCAAAAATCAAATGAACCCAATCTGGTCAACATTCAACCCCAATCTTGTGAACATTCAAAAAGCAATGTTCCTGAACATATTCAAATTCAAAACGCAAGTGGTATATATAGCGAATTCAGAATTCAATGTGCAATGTCAAAATAGCAACGTTCCCTATGCATCCGCCTTGCAGCAACCGTCTTTGACAAACATGTCTGCGGTCTCCCCAGCGCCCTTCACAGAAAGCTTTCCGGACGCAACACGATCTGCCAATCGGAGCACTCCAGCACTATCCATATCGTCCACAGACCTGTGTCCATGCATCGCAAGAGGAACTTGCAAAATTGACCACAAATGTCGACACATGTTTGGATGATTTCAACAACACTTGCAATAAAATGACAAGGCACATTTTCTTGCGGTATTTGCGAGCTGGCTCTGTGATGTCAGGCTTCGACCTGCGCGTGGCCAGAAACAACTGCCACTTTGACTTGGTCACTGTGCAAAACTGCCAAACGCTCTGCAGGTCAGGAACTTAGAGGACAGCAGCTAAATTTGTCTCTTCGCACGGGCCTCTCAAGACACCACCAAAAATCACTTGTCCACCCCAGCCCCATCTCAAGTCGATTCGACTTGAGCTCACGGGCCACCCCTACAAATGGGCAATGATGGAGTTTGAGGGCTGCTTCGACTGCTTTCTGCACTCAAAGGAAGGCTGACCAAGCCACACATCAGAAATCATTTCATTCAACAACCGCCTTTGTTGGTATAGCATTGAACTTCAAAACGTAGTAGCTGGTCAGCTGTAAACTAACTATAGGATATCTATGATATCAGGCCTTGGCTTTTGCCTTAGCCTTCGACTTCCCTGCCGCCTTCTTGTTTGCTTGCTTAGCAATGGCTGAAGCAGCTTGCTGCGGCTTCTCGTACTGCCTTTGTAAAGACAGCATCTCCTTGACCATGGGAATGTAGTCCGCCTCCTGCACGCATGGCAACACATGAGTGGAGCAGATGAGTGGAACTCAACAATCATACGAATGAAGAAGTTCCCCAAAGCCTGCGAACTAGAAGCTTCCCAAAGCGCTTCATTTGTTGGCTCCCAAAGCGGAATAGAAGCCCAGCCTCATTCACCTGCGCCGACACCAGCTGCTGGACCTTCAAGTACAGCTCCCTAAGCAACAGCCACAAGCATCATAAGGTGAAGAAGTCCTGCTGAAAAAATGCGTCATAAGGTTGAGTCTGGTGCAACCAGGACACTCAAACAGTCTAGAAAATTTGTCCATCTCCGTCTTCAAGGCCTCTCCATACGGCAAAGGCTGCAAGGTAAGCGCCAACTGGCTTGAATCGCTCTTCTTCTTGAGCAATTTTTGAGCCATATCACGGCCCTTTTCCAGCGGCGTCAAAGTTGACTGGTCCTTTGGCTGACGCCTCGGCTTTTTGGGGGCCGGCTCCTCCACCCTTCCATCGCCTGCAGCGTGCTAGGCGCAACCGACAGCGCTGCAGGACTGTAAGGTGAAGGTGTAGGTGTGCCTGACGACGATGGCTGGTCTGGCAACATAGAAAGGCGCTTGGAGCACTTCGGCTTGGGCGCAGGCATCTTCCTAAAAGCTTCCAAGGTCAATTCTGCGCAGAAAACCAACGCGAAAAAGTCGCCCGCAAGGAAACTCAAGAAAAACCTTTCCAATCAACCAAAACTCATGAGGTCGGAGATGGAATCCTTGTTCTCATCATCCACAGCAATCTTCCCGGTTGTCAGGATAGAACCTCAAACAGCATAGATAAAAAATAATCGACCGCGTAGAAAAGTCTTCAAACGTCAACAAAAGTTTTGCCACGTTTTGCCTAGTAACCTCTTCTCTTGAAGTTCTCGTCCTCATCCACCCGCTTGGCAACAAGAAACACCCAGCCATTTGGATTGTTCTCATCTCGCTCCACCAAACCATTATCCATCTTATGCTTCATCACCTTGTCCGCCTCATCACCATAGGCATCAACCATCTGCTTCTTTGTAAGGCGCAACGCCTGTTTGCGGGAAGTCTGGATGCGGCCCTCCTCCTCTTGAAGCTGCAAAATGGCACTGACGCCGCTCAATGATCCATTCTGCTCACACAGCATCCCAATCCTTGGATATGGTCAAGGAACCAGGAAAAATGAACATCAGCATCCCCAAGCAGGGTCAAGGCAAAACATCACCCTAAGCAAATCCGCCCGTAGGGAAATCCAGAGGGAAAAACAAACATCACCTTAAGCAACGCAAAGAATCAGTTCAGATTTCCGGCTCTCATCAAAAACCAGTGCATGGAGCGAAGGCATGCCCTGAACTCGGGCAGGGTTATCCCTCAACCTGTTGATGAGGTTCGCTGCAGCTCGTCTCGAGTATGTCTCATTGTTTTTGTTCATGTGTTGCACAGGTTGGAACACCTGTTGCTTCTGCTCCTGCTTTGAGTTCTGCAGAGTGGGCTGCTGCACTGCCGATGGATGCTGTACTGCTGAGGGTCGCTGCTGTTGTTGGGCCATGGCTGCTGCGCCTGCACTTGCCGTCGCTGTGGCTGGCTGCCCAAGCGGTTTGCACGAAGATGGGACTTGCCATCCCATGGCTTGCAACTCTGCTTCTGTGATCTCTTGCTTTGCATGGGGGGTTGCTGGCAGCCTCCCATCCGTTTCGGGAGCTGCAGTCTTCTCTGCAGGCTGGCTGGGCGCTAGCTTTGCCTGCTGCTGTGGTAGCGAAGCGTTTTCCTCTGCATGGGCAGTGCCTGGGAGTGGAGCACAAGCTTGTTGAATTTGATGCGGAGTCGGTAGGTCTCCATGGACCAAAGTCACAGCCTGAACAAGTGAAGGCAGAGCAACTGGCTGGACAGCTGGGTGCTGCAGCGGCTGGGCTCCTGGAGCTGCTGGAATGGCTGGGGCTGGTGGCTGGACTTGCTGCTCATGGTCGGGCAAAGCTTTTTGGTCTGGCTGGCTGGGCGCTGGGTTGGCCTGCTGCTGTGGTAGCGGAGCTTTTTGCCCTGGCTGCATGGGCGCTGCCGGGCCTGGTGGCTGGGCGCTGCCGGGCCTGGTGGCTGGACTTGCTGCTCATGAGA